TGAGTTTCCCCAAAAGGAATTGGACGTGATGTACATCTAGTACTGTAACTTCCTCAAATCACAATGCGATACCGTGAACAGTCGTGCAGGTTCAATTTCCGCTCCAGGAACTCCCAGCCTACTACTAGTAGACGTGACAACCGGGAGAGCAATCGATGGCTCTAGAGGTAATGAGGGCAGACTGAGAGGTAACATCACACCAGCCGTAACAATCGGGATATGGACTCTACCTGCAGCGAGTGGCACTGTAAACCTCTTCGAAAAGTGGCTTCAACGGTATGGCATTGATCAGGCCAATTCTGAACAATAACACAAAATACCACTAGCCATCTTTAGTATATTCAAAGACTACCTTCTCTGCAGGGTCGCTAAGGCCTCATCAAAGTCCCCAGCAGCGATGAGGTCAGGAACCATCTTGCGATTCCTCAACCACCGCCTCGAATACCCTTCCCCTGACCAACAATAGTAGTCGAGGGCGTAGATCAGAAGCGACTCACCAGGTGTCACCACACTATCGTCAACAGCCTGCACTTCAGGACCAGCTGGCAAATCGAGATCACCAAGGCCTGCTCATTACAGATAGAAGTAACCCTATAGAGAGACCAACACTGACTACCCAAGTCCTCATCCGAGCCCCAGGCGTTGCCAATGTCCACTTCCTCCTCAGTAGAGGCGAGCGCATCATCACCCCATGCTGAAATAGGGAGTTCAAAATCGATGTCAAACACTCTACTACCATCAAATCCACCACCCGCATTGGGTGCAGTCCCCCCTTCCTCCTCATCATCATCAAAGCCAGGCAGGAAGGTCGTCTGTTGTGCCTCCTCATCCACTGCCACCGCCGCCGCCTCCTCCACACCAGCCCACTTATTGTCAAAGATTTGCTCCATGCTCATAAGGAGTGGCCAGTTGGTGGTAGCCGCCCTCGTCAACGGCACTGGGGGCTGCAGCAACGACGAGGCCTCCTTATCGCGGGTCATTCCATACCCATCTAAATATAGACATCAACGACACAAACTGACGGTGACGTACCAGTAGCTGCTCCCTGGTTGCCGGCACACAGCTCGGAGTGAAGATCATTCAGACCGTACGTCTCTGAAGGAGAGAA